TGTATGCAAGTACATCGGAGGGTAATGTAAGAGTTTTAATAAATCGATCTAGTGCAAGGGCAGACACACAATGGATCATAGTAAGCTTTTACAAATCAACTGTAGAAGTATTAAGGTATCTGAAAAGTGCTGCGATTCTGATGAAATCTTGAAAATAATTTAATTATATCTATATTCAATGCCGTTTACCAGCAAAAAATACAGCATGCCGTCATACAAATACGATTTTAACAATGAAATAGCAGAATCTATATAGGACCGTAGCACTTTTCAGAAACTACAATGCGTGTTAAAAATATATATATACTAAACTTAGAATTTTAACTTGGTTATGCCCTTGCACTAGTGAAATTCATAGGTGAACTCAATACGGCAAGTAAATGTGCTAAAATCACTTGACTGTCTCATCACGTGACAAGTCTAAATATAAAATCTATTCGTCCTCAATATGTAGTTATTATCCATAATTGCATTTGTCCTATATAAATAATGTACTAAAAATAATCGCCATCCTGATTATGAATACATTTTTAATCACAAAAATTTGTCGATATTTCCATTGCGCACCTTAACTGTACTGCGTTGGTTTAAAAATTGATGGTTCTCAAAGGATGCTGTTAAATATCAAATAACTTGGGAAACACCATACGCAGATGATGAGGGAATATTACTGCATAAAGAAGGAAAGTTGACGATGGAAAAGCTGAATGCAACTCGTTTGTTAAACAAAGTAGTTGTTAATTGGCCTTTGTCGTCTATAGTTAGTCAGTAAAACATTCAAATATGATACATTATGTGGTAGACTTTGTGTTGTCTTTTATTTCAAATTCACTAAGATATACAGAGTCGCCTTTTGAATGGAAATAACTATTGTTAATTAAAAAACCGCCGTCGATATATCTCAATGTCGAGTTGAAAGCCAAAACATGTAGAACTTTATGAATAAATTTTGCTTCATAGGAATATAAAACAGGTCGTCTTAAAAACGAGCATAATTAGTGCCCATCGTAATTCCAACAATTTGTTGGAAGACCTGGTCACCGAAGACTATATAAATGTTGTCAATGAGAAACCCCAGAATCCTTTTAACTTTAGGGTACTTGTGTATAGATTCATGGTGATTTTGAACAAAGTAATTATGTTGATGACCAATCATAACAATCGAAAATTTCTAAGCTCCTTTGTTTGTAGGGATTTTTCTGAAGTTAAGGAATACAGTATAGGTAGGGAAGATTAAACTCGTCTTGTTTGAATGTTAAAAGTATTAATAAGATTTGATTTTGAAGTTAGAAAGTGTACTGTGAGTATAAGTTGGATTTCCAGACGTAGAATTAAAACCAAATTCTTCTAAAGTACAGTTATAACAATGAGCAAACAAACAAAGACGATAGTCTCACGAGCCTTGTCTGCTTAAATGAATTCATATTGATCATGTAGTTTTTGTAACTTTTTTCAACACCTCCGATTTAGTGAAAAACGAAAGGGCAGATTAACGACGAAGGACCTAATTAATTTCTGCAATAGATTTTTTTATTCAAATCTTAATATGAGGTAAAGTGACTTTTGGTGAGTTAAAATCAATAAAAAAAAATCATATGGTCATCGAAGTAGATTTTCAATAGGGAACGTTTCAAAAGTTGGCGATGGAAATCGATAATTACTATAGGAAGTTATGGGAAACTGCCATTGAAAAAAATTCTGCAATAGAATTTTTATTCATATTAAAGGAAAATGTTAAGTAGACAATTTACCAGCAAATTATGCCAAAAAATAAATGGGTCATCGGTTTAGATTTTTCAGGGGGGGGGGGGGAGCATGTCAAACGCAGGTATAGGGCACATTTTGGGGGAAATTTTCAATGAAAAAACCTTGGCCAAATAAATAATTTATTTATAAAATTAACAAATGAATATAAATCGAAATATTTACAATATTTTTGAATTGAGAGGAAACGTTTGAATATCTTTAAAAGAATTAAAAATGTATATTTTTTATCTTTTGAAATACATAATTAAGTCAATTTGATTCAAGGCATATGCGCGGTTTTCTGCGCAGAGGCTCGAAATTTCGAATTAGGTTCATCGTAAGTTATTACAGCAGTTGAGATGAAACTTTTGTCTACAATGTTAGCAACGACCGAGAAAATCTGTCTTGACTACTATTCAGATCTTAAAATCAAGAGTACTGTAGCTTGAGTCTGGTCCATGTGTGAAGCCAAACGAGTTACACGTTTAGTCTATTTAAAGTCAGCAATTCCACATAACAAAATCCTCCAACATGTTCATGTTCTTCTTCACCCTACAACTATAGCCCTGCTGGCCACGTCATTACCGGTGACGTAAATAAAGTTAATAATGAGAAACCTAAATCACTTATTTTATAATGGACAAAATTAAGGGAACCCCGTCATATTTTCATAAGTATTATGAATTCTGTGGAAGATTACGCCAGGCAATGTGTCAAATATGAAAGAGAAGATCTTGTCATTTCGTCAGAATAAATTAAAAGTATCAGGTGGATGTTAAAATCTCACATTAAGTAATTAAATGGCAATCTATCCTTCTGTCTTCAATAATTCAGAAGTGAAAAAAGAAATAGACAGCTTACACGATAAGTATGTACTGGTCCCAGCAAACAAAGCAGGAAACAACATTCTCTTTGTTTGTAAGGCTCATTGTTTTAATTGTAGTTTAGAGGAACTGGGATTTAATTCTGCAAGTGGTAATCCATCTTATACCCATAGTTCCCTTTCTAAGGAAGTTCTTCAAAATCATATGTCAGTTTTAATTATTTTTTGATATCCCCAACAATCAAAATGAATTTTAACTTTTTTTTCAATATATAAAATAGTACTAGTAGATTTACTTACCTTGTCACTGGTCATTTGCAAAATTATTTTGTTTAAAACACTTTGATTGTACACACAAGTACTCTGAAGTTGCTATTAAATAGATGCTTGAGTTTCTGATTGACAATATCTATGTAGTGTTTGGAGATCTGATCTTCCAACAATTTATTGGAATTCCCATGGTACCAATTGCGCCCCCTTATTAGCAGACCTATTTTTGTATTCATATGAAGTGGAATTTATTCAAAATCTTATACATGAGAAGAAGAAAACACTTGCTATGGCCTTCAACTCGACATTGAGATTTATGTACGACGTACTATCAATAAACAATAGTTACATCCAATCATATGTCGACTCAATATATCCCGGTGAACTTGAAATAAAAGATACAAGAGAGTCTGACACATTTGTTTCATATTGGAATATTTTATAAGAAAAGTACGTTAATGGTTACCTATAAACAAAATTTTATGATGAACGTGATGACTTCAACTTTTCTATCGTCATCTTCCCTTACTTTTGTAGCAATATACCCTTATTATCTGCAGATGGGGTTTATGTCTCCCAGTTGATTCGATATGCAAGAGTATGCTATTTCTAAAACGAACTATTTCTAAAACGAGGTAAGCTATTGACAAACAAGTTGATAAAACAATAATATCAACAGTCTTGTTTAAAGTCATCATTTCGCAAGGTTCTATGGTTGATACAAGGACCTTGTCAGCAAATACAATCTATCATTAAGTCAAATGCTGAATGATGTTTTTCATACTGATTGTAAGGCCATTATTTATTATTTACATATTGAATTAATAAAGGTTTTTTCAGTTTTTCCTGATCATGATAATGAACTCACAGCGGGTGTGCAGGAGATGCTTACTCCTCCATGGCACCTGATCCCACCTCTGATGTTTAAGGGATCTGTGTTTGCTCTGCTCCTAATTTGTATTGATTAAATGGACTTTTTTGCTTGATTACTGTTAGATATCTCAGAAAATTTCATCAAAACTATAAACGTTAGGCCTATATAAAATACATGTATATACGTTATTTCACGCTCGCTCAGGCTATATAAAGTATATTGGCCACTTTACTCATTGCACGTTTGCGCACCTTTGACCTTTGTTCTGCAAATCTAAACAACATGCCTATAAACCCTAAAAAGGTTTCACCTCAATCAGATGAGTAGTTTTCAAAATCACTCGTGGACAAAACATAACCAAGAAGAAGAAGAAACATAACTAGAAACCTTGTTCCAGTCATGGCAACAAGGTAAAAACTCAATCTAATAACTCCGCTAAAATGCGTGAACTTGAAACTTGTTTGCACATCTGCAACCTAAACTAAAATTTATAACAAAATCAATATTGAAATACCCTGATGATCCATTACAAGGCTGAGATAAAAATCATGCCAATGGGACTAAAATTGGAATTTCGAAATTTCATGTATCATGTATAAGGCTTGCCTAGTAACAAGAAATATAATTCTTGGCTAAAAGGTTTTATAAGATCCAATGGCAATGAGGCAAGACAAAAGGATACACTAACAGACATTCCAATATAAACAGACTTTAGGTGTAGTAAAAGTCCTCAATCCAATCATAAATGCGCGTTGCAAGAGATATAGCATTATGTAAATTGAAATTTAAAAAAAGCCACCATATCTTTGTAGATCTGCACGTCTATTGATTTATATACATTAAGCGTACCAAAACTAAGATATAATGAATTAATTAAGTTTTCTGTTTTTTTTTTTTTTGGGGGGGGGGAGGGCGGGGGGGGGGGCACATATGATTATTTTTTGTTTTGCTTTCAGTCCCTTCTAGATTTTTTTTCACTCATATTGAAACGCCACCACTTGCCGTTGGAGGGCTACAAATTTAGAACTGTACTCGGCACTTACGGCCTTTGGGCAGTGGGGGATCTTTTTTCTTGCCAGCACCTATTGCAACACAGGATCTCGATTTATACGGTCTCGTCCCAAGAACAGGTCTCCACCTCCCGCAAAAGGATTCGAATCTTACTATATATGACACTTCAAAGTTAAATCATCATTATTAAAAATGGACCAGTGAAATTATTTATTAGTTTTTATATCTAGATATATCTGTACATCATCTACTACCAGATCATAATCACTTAATGAGTTAGTCATGTTGTTTGACTGTGAGATAGTCCTTTCTCTTTATGTATCTATATACATCCACTCTTTTGTTATAATCTCTTATTCCAACCAAGAGAAGGTGATTTTTGTTGTCATAAGCCAGACTTCCTAATACATTTTTCTTGTTTATTTTTGGAAGAGTGATAAGAAGTGACCGACCGTCTTTGTCAATTATTTGAACTGTTTTGCTTTTAGTATCAGACACCAGGATGTGTGACAGTGCGTCAACGCAGATTCCTAGTGGTGATAGTCGTGATCCTGATGTAGGTCCTGTGTAGGAGAAGTGATGACTTCCTCCACGTTCTGTCACCACAATACCACTGATCAAGTCAGAAACAATAACATCTTTATTAGCTTTAGGTTCTCTGTAATATATTGAGGATATGTATATAGTTTCTAACCCGTGTTATTTCGTTCAATGGCCTGAATGTGTTTCCCTATACTATTATACCGCATTACCATGGCCTTTTTGTATAACTTTTTATTAATATCACCTCCTATCGGCGCTGCAACACTAACTAATGTGATTCTGGATGCATTGGTAAGGATGAACATTTCCTTTAGCAAGTGCCTTGGACAGTGCTACGATGGAGCCAGCAATATGTCCGGAGCCAAAAAGGGTGTGGCTGCTACATCATCAGTAAAGAGACTAGAACTATCTACACGCACTGTTATGGACATGCGCTCAAGCTGGCAGTTGATGATACAGTGGAAAGGTCAGAGGTGATGCGTAATTCCTTAGATACTGTGTTTGAAATGTCCAAACTCGTAAAGTATTCGCCTAGGAGGGATACCATATTGCAACAGCTAAAGCGTGAGATGCAACTGATACGCCGGGATTCCGTGTGTTATGCCCCACTCGATGGACTGTTGGAGCTGCCAGTTTGAACAGCGTTCTAGAAAGCTACTTTATCCTTCAGTCCTTGTGGGAGACCTGAGTGCACAAAGGATTCTGAAACCTGTTTCATGATCATTGGAGTGAAAACTCAAATGCAAAGTTTTTATTTTCTCTTTGGTGTGTCCCTTGGATTTGAGATTCTCTGTCACACAGACAATCTAAGCCGAACGCTACAGAAGAAAGACCTATCAGCTGCTGAGGGCCAACACATGACAGAACTTTCCTTGACATCACTCGGTGAAATCACATGACAGAACTTTCATTGACATCACTCGGTGAAATGCGTAAGGAAGAGTCCTTCAACGCATAATGGGAATCACTCAACAAAAAACTTGATGATTTGGAGGTCAAAGAGACAACATTGCCACGACAAAGAAAAATGCCTAAGCGATTTGAAACTGGAAAGGCCCCTCCATAATTCGCAATATCAGAGAAAGACGTCTACAGACAGCACTATTTCGAAGCTCTAGATCTTGTGGTGAACTGTGTCAAGGGTCGTTTTGATCAGCCAGGTTATCAAGTGTATCGCCATCTAGAGGACGTTCTTCTGAAGTCTGTGCGTGGCGACAAGACATACAAAGAAAATGTAGACTTTGTCTTAGAGTTCTATGGTGATGATCTGGATAGGACTTCTCTCTTCACATTTTACTGGATACTTTCACGAAACAACTTAAATGATTCATCCACTGTGTCCTTTTCCTTTTTGGTGACCTTAGTGTCTCAGATGTCCCCAGCTTCCAGATGCCTATTCTCCGAGATTGTGACTCTACTGAGACTTATTTTAGTGATGCCAGCCACTAATGATACAAGTGAGCGAACATTTTCTGCTCTGCGCCAAGTAAAGACTTATCTTCGTTCTACTATGTCACAGGAAAGGCTGAATCATTTGATGATCCTGCACACGCACAGGGAGGCTACGGATGCATTGAACATTTTGACAGTTGCCAATGACTTTGTATCAGCAGGGGATGGACGGAGATTCATTTTTGGACGCTTCTAAAGTACAGTATCATTGTGTATTATTTAATGAACAGAGTTTTATTTGTCTCATTTGCATAGCTTGTTTATAAGTGCTTTTTAAATGATTAAATCAAAGATAAGTATACATGTATATCACACTGAAATTTATTCAACTACGTGCTCCTCAACTGTACTTATGACATAAAATGTAAATAAAATCACATAGAACTATTTTTTTCATCAGGCAGAGTCTTTAAGACATTGACAGAATGGAAAAATATCAATCATGAATGAATATCAATATTCTGATAGAAATTTGGATTTAAGTAAACACACGTTAATTACCCCCCCTTTTCGACCCAGTTCTCCTCCCCAATGTCAAATATTTGCCAATGCCCCTGCTCCTCTCATACCAACCAGTAGATCTTCATTAGAAGGAGAAAAATACACACACTTTGATTTCCATGGTTCTGTTTTCTTTATGAGCGTGTTTAGTGAACATGACCCAAAACCAATTACTTACTTACCAGGAACATTGCTTATTTTATGAATCCAATCTCATTACATTTACTCCAATAATAAATTTGAATTTGACACAGTGTTGCAAATCGGCAATCTTAATTCAAGCTCAAAAAAATTCTTTCTTTTTTTTAAAATATCCAAACCTTCCATTACAAGACAGAGATAAATCATGCTAATGGGACCCAAAATTGGAATTCAATTTTAAAATAACATCTATTATCTACTATGCTTGCCCATTGACATGAAAGATGATACTTTGCTTTTAGTAAGAATGTAGAATATCCAACGACAGAGAGACAGACAGAAAGGATACACTCACAGAAATTACAATAGAATCAGTCATTATTTAGAAAGTACAGGTATAACATTTTCTTGCATCTATGAAATAAAAAAAAAAACGCCAAGGTAAAAACTTTTTGAAGCTTAATGGAGTTTCTTTTTATTTTCTTTAATGTTTTTTAATCTTTTATGATGATAACGAGTTTATTTCATAAACTATATTCACAACATCCTAAATATAATCAGGGTTGTAACATAGATATAAAACAAAAATATCAATAAAAACAACCCACCATAACCCTGTTGATCTGTTTGTCTGTATTTCAATATATCTGTAACATTTAAAAAATACTTTAATTTTCTCACTTTAATGATTTTGATTTTTTAAAGTTAAATCTACATTATTGTTTACAATGACCAATGAAATAATATTTGTCTAAATGTATCTGTACATCCACTACCAAATCATATACACTTGTGAGCTAGTCAGTAACATTTTCTGTGGATCGTCCTTTCTCTGTATACACATTTGTGAACTAGTCATGTTGATCGTGTGTGAGATAGTCCTTTCTCTGTATGTATCTGTATACACATACTCTGCTGTTATGGTCTGTTGCTCCTACCAAGAGAAAGTGATTTCTGCTGTCATAGTCCAGACCCCCTGATACATGTATCTTGTTTATTTTGGTGAAGAGTGATAAGAAGTGACCGTCTTTGTCAATCATTTGAACTGTTTTGCTTTTTGCATCAGACACCAAGATGTGTGACAGTGCGTCTACACAGATTCCTAGTGGTGATAGTCGTGATCCTGAAGGAGGTCCTGTGTAGGAGAAGCGATGTTTTCCTCCACGCTCTGTCACCACAATACCACTGAACAAGTCAGACACAATAACATCTCCATTATGGTTCTCCGTGATGTATTTAGGAAATTTGTACAGTTTCTGACCTGTGTTATCGTGTTCAATGACCTGAATATGTTGTCCTTTACTATTATACCGCATTACCTTGGAATCTGTATATATATTTTTATCATTATCATAACTCATTATCGCAACTAGTAGATCTCCATTAGACGGAGAAGAGTACACACACTCTGCTTTCCATGGGTCTGTGTTCTTTATAACAGTATTTACCATTGTGTTGTCTGTAGACAATTTGTTGATGTTATTGGATCTGTCAATATAAATAAGATTCCCCTCACGAGTTACGGAGTGTCCTCCAGTATAACTTATTGTATTTGTAACACTATGTAGAGGGGCACCTGTTGTGTTTGTCAAGATGATACGTCCATAGGCGTCACTGATCCATGCCAGGTCTCTTGTAACACAGGAAATGTGACGAACCACCATAGCACCTATCACTGTGTAAGATTTCTGTAACACAGGTGTATGCATCAGTTCCAGCAGCTGTTCATTGCTTACGTGTCTTTTACTTGTCTCTGTGATTTGGATTACTCCTATTGACTTAATTATATCCACCATGTTGATTCTACTATTTATGGAGAAGGAAAAGGTATCAGGAATGATCGTGACCCTTGGGATAGGAGTTTTCTTTAGACATATAAGGAATTGTACAGGCTTGTCTAATAACTGTTCTAATTTGTATAAAAACATTTCTTTTCTGGTAATGTTTTTCTTTGGTTTTTGTAATCTAGATTTCAGTAACAGTTTACACTTTTTTAATTCATTCATATCATTCACTACTAAATCAACCAGATTCGTCAGTTTCAAAGTTCTTTTTGTCATGCTTCGCTGTAGGCCAGATAATTTTGACTGACAAATTTCCCCACCCCTTTTAATATCGGATTTAATTCTTGTAAGAATAGAAAGATTATTCAAGATAATATCAGTTCTTATGTGAACGATTCTGTCTCTGTGTTGGTGTCTGTACATTTCATAAACTGGAACAATATCAAAGATGCCATGATATCCGTGTTCATCACAGTCAGGGCAGATTGGAAATTCACATGAAAAACACCAGTTGTCTAAGTACATGTCTTGGTGGCTTTCACAAAACTCTGATATCTTGAAGTCGCCATACTTTAAACGGTCAATTACTACATCGTGGTATCTGGTGTCTAGGTCTATCAAATGTTTTTCCTTACAAAGAACACATAGATCTTCTTTACATGTTTTGCAGTAGTATTCTACGTCCCCTTTACACCGAGAACACTGGGGAATTTTCAGCTCCGTGTAGACATGTGTGTCCATTATTACGATAATATGTGCTTCTGGTTTATTGCATTTTTGAATTTTTTTTCTCTTTAATTTGTATTGTTCTTACAGTGCAATCTAGATAAATATAAAAATCAAAAATTAGTTTTTGTTAATTTTTTTTAATAGATTGTAGATAAAATTATGCTGATAATATTAAATTTATTGTTTGATTATCAACATGACAGAACTTTTGACAATGATTCATAGACTATATATGTTTTACAAGAAAATAAGTAGGCAACACTATGTCGTCGGATACGTACATAAATGAATTTATCATTTTTCTATATTGCTGCCAGCTATCTGATTGGCTCAAACTAGATCACATGATCAAGCATAAAAAGTCTTATAAATTGGGTGTTTCTATTTTAAGCTTCAAAATTTTTTTCATAAACCTGTTGTTTCTAAAATTGAAAACGTTCTTCTGTGAAGCTACAATAGTGCTGACATCACAATAGTCTTTATAAACTGAATGTTTCTAAATACAGATACTGCAGCTACTATTCGTAACTGTGACGTCATGATGGAATGACATAACAATGCCTTATATGAGAAAGTATTGAGTATTAGAAGCATGGAATTTAACACATTTCTTATTAAGTGATAAAAAAAAATAAAACTATTAAAGCCTTTTGATTCTGTATTTCGTGCTCGGTCGATATGTTTTCTTTAAGGTCTATATATCTAGGAATTGGCCTCATCAAAATGCTATAATAGTATATTGCTAATTACTGAAATTAAGTGTTCTTAGTGATATATATGCATGTGCAAAAAATAAAGAATAGTGTATGTTTTAATATAGTCTACATTTTTCCAAAGAAGGATTGAAACACCATAACCTCTATTTTGGATCTTTTTGCGATTCTTTTATCAATGCAAGTTGTAAAGAAAAGACTCCAAAATATTTTACAAGCAATAGCAAGATGTACATTATTATATATTGTTATATTAGGTAGAATATTTCTACAAAAGCAATGCCTTGCTCTCCTTAATCAAAACTGAAGCAACGATACATTAGTGTCATCGTCCGGAATTTAACATCTACCCGGAGTGGTTTTAGGTTACAAACCGGTCATCAATATAAATAGGAAGCAGGGATATCAATAAGTCTCTCTCTCTTTCTCTCTTTAAAAAAATTGAAAATGTGAATAATATCAGTTTAGCATTATCATGCGTTGAAAAAGCGTGATTCTGGCTATTTAAGAAATCTTCGAATCCAGGATTTTTAGAAGATTTACCTTGAAAACAAAATTAATTCAAATATCTATCGAGAACATGACGTTAAGATATTGGTGATTTATATTATGGAAATTAAAGAAATATACATTTTAAATACAGTGGACCTTCAGATATTCGGATGCCAGATATCCGGAAGTTCAGATTCCGGACGATTTTTCTTGGAAACGGAATTCTTTAACGTGATTTTGTCTCGTTTATCCGAAATTCCGCGTTCCGTATCCGGAGGTCTTTTTTCACCACAAAATGAATTTTTACGTTATATTTTGGTTCATTTATCCGGACGGTATTTTTTTAATTGTCTGTCAACTCTGCTCTAATTTCTTGAGCTGGGTGTAAATTGTTGTAAAACCACTGGCCTGGCTGTTTGTTTTAAAAGATGATCACCGTCGACCTGATATCAATGGCTCGGGGCAAGGTCAATTATAGGTCGATAGGTACGCACGAGACTCGCTTCTCCAACATGTATTTGATAATTAACGGAAATAATTTTATGTCTATAATTTTTCCGTAGTCGGCAAATGTATTTCTTTTACTGTTAGAGTTCAGTCGTAACATGGTTTTATGTATTGCATTTGCTACTTACAGACATGACATCGGAGTTGTTTATGTATAGTGTTTAATACGCAAAACGGATTCTGTAATTTGATGACATTTATTTTATAAAATCACTTTCAAAATTACACAATGGTTATGCGATCTCGCTTGGGATGATTATGATAAGCTTACAATAACATGTGCAGTTAATTTCACATTTAGCATTGATTGGCGTTCATATTAAATAAGACTCTACCGACAGTACGTTTTCTTTCTCTGTCAGTTCTATAGCCACTTGGCTAGGAGAAGTTGATTTATTAGACACTGGGAAGTAGAAATAATTAATGTTACCATATAAACAACGTTTCATCCAATGAAAATGTACTTTTATTTTATTTAAACAAGTATTGAGTAGTACTAACGTTACAATATACATTTATTGACTGGGTGAGAGATCAACATGCGTTTTGTCGGACCCAAGAACCTTTTTGCCTGAGGCCGTTAGGCCGAAGGCAAACAGTTTTGTTCGAGGGGTCGACAAAATGCATTTTGCTTGAGAACACAGTCAATAAATGTTTTGTTTTTTTTTACACCTTTTATTTATTTATTTTGTTATTATTTTTTTGACATACATGTATGTCGAACATACATACATGTATGTCGAACACCAACGAATGCAAATGAGATTTAGCTGACCTCGCCCATTATGTGGCGTAAGCTGTCCAACATCTCATCGACAGGTCCAATATCTTACTCCGCGGTCAAACATCGATTTTTTTTATGCCCGCTCAGTAAAACAGTTGAAATGTTTGACTTTTATTAGTATTGAATTATATAGGAACACAGTTTTAAAGGTATAACAATATCAAAGTATTTACACAATAAAACATATTGATATAAAGCAGCATTCTTCACTATTGCCAATCATATGAAAGGCCATATAACTAAAATCAAGGCAATTCAGATATCCGGACGCTCCATTTATGAGGACGATTTGACTGGGAACCAAAGCGTCCGTATAAATGAGGTTCCACTACATACATTTTAAACTTAAATTTACGGCTTCTTTTAGAACTCTTCAGTCCACTTTTTTTTTTTTGGGGGGGGGGGGGGGACTGAACAATCCTGTAGGAAGAATAGCGTTTATAAAATTTTACATCTCATTTTCATTTGATAATCGAAGACAACACCGTCCATCAAAATAAAGATTATATGGCCTCTTTACCATTAAACAGACTAAGAAAACTTCGAAATGAAACTCAAAATGCTTAGAAAAAGGCACTCTGGTGATACAGTCTATGGTTGTATAGATCTGCCATAACTTGCACTGAGATATATTTATGTCAATTTGTCATTTATGTATGTCGTGTTGTTATATATTTCTCGGTTTGTCAGATTTTGTCTCCTATTCACATGCCAAAAAATTCAACATGTCTATGGCCAGTGTGTGTCATCCATATGACAAGTCGACATATTAAACATCTGAAAATTGAACATAATTATCTGAAAAATTGAAATCATTTCTAGCAAATCGTCACCATTATCTGACAAATCAACATAAATATCTGTCAAATATAGGCATCTGATAAGACGAAAATACATCCGACAGGTTAACCTTAGTTTCTGAAAAGTCGTTATAACATTTTGTTAGTCGACAAAAGAAATAATGTCGAGCTTTCAGATAAATATTTCGACTTGTCAAATAATTATCAGGTAAGTCATTTTTTCAGATAGTTACATGTATTTTGACTTTTCATATAACAGCAATTTCCAAGATAATTATATCAACTTGTTAAAAATTTTGCTTATTTATCAGATATAATCATGACAAGTTGTTATCAGTTAGTGGGATTTAAACACCTTATATTTCTAATCATGATAATTATTATTATTTGACAAAGTGATATAAACATCTGACAAGTTGACATTAATATCTGCCAGGTCAACATAAGTATGCAGGTAGCTGAGAAATCCACTGAAACATCTGAAAAATTGACATAAACATTTGACAAGTCGACATAAACATCTGACAGAATACGCCACGACAGCCATTTAAAAAAATACTTCATACTGCTAACCTGGTTTTTTTAATTTTGGCCGATATCCAGATTTTACTAAAGTATTGAATGTTCCGTGTGAAGAACAGGAAATAGGGGTTCAACCCATCAATCCTTGCTGTAAGGAAATATACGGAATCCCTCACCACCTTTCCCTTGCATTGAATTATACAGAAGATATCCCCTCACACTATATATAGAGAGTAATGAAGGATAACCGATAAGTAGGTCACATGGGTCACTGGTCATTTAAATTACTTGCGTGCGATCGCTAAGGTGGAATATTCAGCTGTAGGTATGGGGTCACAGCAGACTTCACACTGACACTGTACAAAGCCTTTTCAAATCCGGAATTTAAAGTTTGCATTCTACATGTTCTATTTAAAGATATTTGATTAGTAAGGATCTATTTGTTACCTACACACTAAAACATGATCAAGGAGTTTGTTACAAAGTTATTAATAATAAATATAAAAATTGTGCTGTCACAGTTCTTATTTTTTATTTATTTTTGTTTGCTTTTTTGTGTAATTATACGGAGTGAAATATGTGTATTATTCAGATATCAGAAAGAGTTATCCTTCTTTGTAAATTTTTGAATTATCTTCCTTGAGTGGAAATCTTTTGTGTCAGGAGTTATCTCCCTCATTTTCTCGTGCAAGTTTTCATTCAGTCTGCCATTAGAGTTCCATCCATGAGGATGTACATGTAACATTCTACCTTCTTACGATTTGTGGCCTATTACCATGTAAGTTTTTATAGGAAACTTTTGTAACTTCATACCTATTATTTGTAAAGTTTTTTGGTGATTATTTATAGAGTTTTTGTGTATTGAAAACTTATTCAGACCGGTATTTTTTGTAAAGTTTAAAGTCACTGAAGTCACGAGAATTAGTTATTGTTATTCAATTTATCTAATATGCTTTATAGTAATTTGTTATTATGATAAGGTTTATAAGTGAGCTATTTCTATGGAACACCGTTATTGTCTTTTTGGTATATCAGTATTATAGTATTTGATTTTGTTTATTTCAGTTATTTACCTCATTCGCTCACTCGCTCATTCGCTCACTCGCTCATTCGCTTACTCGCTCGTGTAGACTCACTCGCTCACTTAGGCTCACTCACATAGGCTCACTTTGTCTCACTCACCTAGGCTCATTCGCTCATTCACTGATTGGAATATGAATTCGCTTGTTAATAAATATGGAACCAGTTACCATGTGTTCTTCAATGATCAAGTATGAGGTGTGAGGTGTGAGGTTTAGCTAGCTGTTCCAGACAGCATAAAAATTATCGTTTGGTTTCATTCTTCAAATGAAGAAGGAACTGGAAGGGACACTAAAAAGTATCTATCTTGATGTGAAAAATTCTCATCAGCTACTCAGGTCCAGCAAAAAAAAAAATCATTACTTGAGGAAGGAAGGGAAATGTAAAGAAGATTGGATACTTTGTTATTAAACAATGGCTATACGAAATATATATGTCTACAGCTTTTATAAATTTAAGACGATCGAACTAGGTTATTTCCCAAGATATAGATTTCCCTTGGGATGTAGATTCAGCCGACGTGTCTGCACTCTCAGAAAACAATGATGATTAAAATATATTTACTCATCGCCATTGACGTGTTCTCGATATAGATATATTTGGGTTAGACCCTTATAAATAAACTCCATGACAGTTTAAAGAATGATTTGATGAGCATGTTTGAAACATGATTTAAGGCATTGGAGCTGAGAACAGACAAAAGAAGGAAATTCAGCAACCTACATGTACATTAAAGTCTTTCCAAGAAGAAGAGGAGTTGATCATTTCGTCACAAAGAACGTCACTCGTGTCAATAGGGCCGTTCATTCGGACTCTCTTAAAGTCATGAGAAATCGATATTGTAACAATAATAGAACATAGAGATATATAGAGTACGTTCTACAAGACATCGTCCGAAATTAAAACAGTCGCGGCCATACAGATCATTCAATTGTCTCTCACCTAGAGACACAGATAAATGAAATGATTCAATCAAGCGATTTAAAAAATTACAGATAATGAGAGCGATCCCATTGAGGAAAGTTTTATAAATCCGAGTTTAATAGAGTTAATAAAATTAGAAACGATATGTGGAAGTTGAGAAAGCCTTAAAATGACATAATCGCTGAGGGAAGGTAGAAGTTTAAGTGAAATGACAATGATATTCAAAGAAATTTAATTCTTAAATAACACTTCAACTTGTTAAACTGCAGGATATAATAAGGACTAATTTTATTACCAATCTTCGTGTAACATTAGGCAGTCTTGAGATTGACATCATGCTTTTACTGCCGGAGGGAATTTACTCTCCCTGATAATTTGAGGAGACATATTCAAATTTCTCTTGGGGGCAATCAATTATATCCCCAAAGTGATAAAGATGATACTCAAATTACTTAAACGTATCCCCCTCCTTCTCATAGTCATGTTGTATCTATTTAAGTTCTACAAGACATCGATTGAAATTGTAACAGACGGCCACAGATCATTAAACGATTTATTACCTAGAGACATAGATAAATCAAATGTAGACTTTGGAGAAATAATACGAATAAGATTTAAAATTCAAGTGTTTTCAAAAAGAAAGCGCACAAGCCACGTAAGAATTGTAAATTTTAAATGAGGCAGGCTATTGACAAACATGTTAATGAAACAATAATATCAACAGTCTCGTTTGAAGTCATCAAGTTTATGGTCGATACAATGACCTTGTCATCAAAAGCAACCTAACATTAAGTCAAATGCTGACTGACGTTTTTTCATACTAATTGTTAGACAATTTTTTACAGTGAATTGTTTGCGGATTTTTCCTTTTTTTTCCAGATCATGACAAGGAGCACACAATCGACAGTGAATGCTTACTTCTCCATGGCACCTGATCCCACCTGTGATGTTTTTAAAGGCCGTGTTTGGTCTGCTCCCCGTTTGTGTCGTAAAATGGCTTTTGAGCTTGAATACTGTTCGTTATCTCCATATTTCAGTACTATAAAAATATTTCCCAGCGTGACTTAGAACACAATTTGACAGGAAATCCTTAGTTATAACATACAGGAGATTCTTTCGGCAAAATATACAAAAGAACAGATTATGACAATGAACTCATCAAGGGAACTTTTTTCTAATCCGAGCTTTATACATGCAGTAAATAAAAGCAGATACGAAATGTGAAAGGTTGTGAAAGTCTTTAAATGACAAACGACACACGCGCAGAAGGAAGCTTTTAAGGTAGAAGTTTTAATGAAATGGCAGGAGTATGCAAAGAAAGTTCTTGGATAAGAAAGCAACATGCAATACTGCAATGGACTATCATCATTTAACATTAAGTAGCCATGCGGTCGACACCATGCTTTTACTGCCAGAGGGAATTTACTCGCTCCAGTAAACTGAGCAGACATATGCAAATTTCTCACGGAGGAAGTCAACAATATCCTGCTGATTAAAAGATGATCCTCAAATCACTGAACTTTATCCTCTTCCTCAGGACTTCACTGCCCCTTCTCCTCCCGTAATGGACAAGGCATTAAGGATAAGGTTTAGTTTGTACATCCCTTCGTCACGATCGGTGCGGAACCAACGATGTAAGGAAAAGCTACGTGGATCGAAAACTTAATAATAAGCATAAACTATACATTGATGATTATTTAAACAAATTGATGACACTGATAATTGATAATAAATCAATAAATTAAAACATTACTGATAATGAAGGTTGTGATGAAGAATCTGATAATATAAAGATGAAAAGTCTGATGAAAAAGCTAATGATGAGGAAGAATCAGATGATTTAACCTAAGTGACATTCTCGTTAACTTTAATAACAATGATCAATATCAAGTTCCAAATTCATTATTGATAAATAGCAATGTACATTGTAGATAATTTTCAAATATATATGTCCATAAATATGATAGCAAATTGTAACACAATATGCTCGTGTTCATATGATAAATATTAGATAATGAGAAATATTTTATAATGAGAAAAATGTTTCAAAAGTAATATTTACAAAAAATAATGATAAAAAAGTATCAAATGATTTACATTCTGATTTTATAATGATCATGAACCAGCATGTGAGTGCCTGTGACCAGTACATAACGTTTATCAACATGGGACTTAAGTATTTTTTAATTATTGGACAGAATAAGACATCACTAAGATCAACAGGATCCAAAACGATACTTCTACTTTGTCATATATCGTACTAGGCATTTTTATCTTAGTGCAATGGTATTGTGATATTATATTCATGTTATCATAGATATTTAATAGTAAAAATTCAATATACAAGAATCTACATCTCTGTTCATTCTCATCGAATCCATATCAATCTTTCGAGAAAACGCCTGGTAAAGGAGTGCAGTTAAACGTATCTGAAATGACATCAAAATATGATAAGAGACGGAAACATGAAAAACAAATTTAAAAGATATATATCTTAATTCTTTTATACATCTACCGTATATTATTTTAGATTAAACATTTGAACAAAAGAATAAACATATGAAAAGAAGAGGAAAAGTAAGTTGTGCATATGGATTTAATATATAGTGCACGATATGTCCTTAAATTTACATTTTATGCCAAAAATAACTGAAATATGTTATGGTATTGCGTAGAAAAACGTGTTGAATTCACAATTATAGAATATTATATATAATATCATGTTTATTTGTTTTAAACAAAATGCATATCAAAATTATTCTGAAAGATTACCTATGCAATTGTCTGGCCACTTTAGGAGCCTACAAGCATATATTCTGTTTTTGCTGTATGACCCAATCAATAGAATTTGAGTTTTATCATCATAACTCAGGCTCCGGGACTCTTTAATTCTTTGTTGGTGCGCGTGTGCCTCTGGCAGTGAAAGGATATGACCATCCTTGTCAATCATGTGAACTATGTCAAGGCCGGTATCACAAACTAAGATATTAGAATTCGCGTCTGTACAGATCCCACGTGGTATAAAGAGTGGCCAGGATGGAGGTCCTCTGTATGAGAAGCGATATTTTCCTCGACGGTCTGTCACTACAACACCAAGGTAATAGTCAGAAACAATGACATCGCCATTTTTGTTTTCTGTGATGTACATTGGAAAGGCGTATAAGTCCTCCCCTGTTTTGCTGTGTTTGATGTTCTGGACTAACTGACCGTCGCTATTGTACCTTGTTACCTTGGCCTCTGTGTATTTACCAGAATTTTTATCATATTTTCCCATCCCAACCAGAAGATCTCCATTGAGGCGGGAACAATATACGCATACTGGATCCCATGGTTCTGTTTTCGATATTAGTCTAATTTTTATTCTTTTGTCCGTAGAGAGCTTGTTTATGTTATAATCCTTGTCTATATATATGAGCTCTCCTGTAATATTCACTGAATGCACTCCCCACACACTGTTTATTTCTCTGAGGCGATGTAAAGCGCCGCCTGTTTGATCTGTCAAAATGAGATTTTGTTTATCACTGACCCAGACCATTTGTGGTGTTACTCTAGAAATGTGATTACACTCAACGACACCTGTAACTGTTATGTATAGCTTGATTTCAGCTGTGGATACCATTTTCCGCAGTTGTTCAATTCTCATTACTCCTTTTCTTTTAGTCTCATTAATTTCAATGTCTCCAACTAACCCTGTCACATTATCTAGATTGATGTCTTCAGTAGGGTAAGATATCACAGTGTCAAAGACGTTCCTTTTTGGGGGAACGGGCGTTCTCTTTATAAATAATAGGAACTGAACTGGTCTTTTTGTTAAGTGCTCAAATTTATGTTCATACTTCTGTACTGCAGAAATATGTCTTTTGAGGATTTCCTTTTGTTCATGTAGTTTGGGGATCAAATACGATATACATTTACATATTTCCTCATGATGAACTAAATCCATTTTGTACTTCAATTTCTGAACTTTGTACTTCATGCTTATCATCATATTTAACTCAATGCCTAGAGTTTCTCTTCGGCAAATTCCAACATCAGAATTGATTGTTTCCAGGATAGTGCAACTGCTGGGGATTAACTTTTTTTTAACATTTGCAAATATTTCTCTGCTTTGTTGTCTTCGAGTTTTAAAAATTGATTTGATACTTTTGGTGTCATGTCGCCTATGTTTCAAACAAGCTGAACAGAAAGGGAGATCACATGTCACACACCAGTGTACATACTTCTTATCTGGGTGTTTTTCACATATGTCAGGCCTATTTAATGCATTGTTATTTAAACCCCATAAGTCCAGGTTGTCGAAGTGCAGTTGTGTACAATGGACATTGTGACATCGACTGGTGAAGTGGTTGTTATTTTTGAAAAATTTTATTTCTTTTTGATGTGTTGTCAAAGTATTCCCCATGATGAAATTACTCTACAATACAAAATGAACTACAATCGTTTGTAGAAAAAAAAAACATTTCCGTATAAGTTAACAAGAAAGTTAAGTTATATGCTATTAACTTTTTCACTGATGTGTCAATTTTTATTGGTGATTGTGCATTATATTTTCTAGCCTTGTCACATGCGGCGAGTATTTTTTTTTTTTTATCTACAATTGTCCTTTAAGTCCAATTCCGTCAAGAGAAATTGGATACTTTTTGATTTTAAAAGTTTCATGCATAACATCTATATGGCTTTTATGAAATATAATTTACCAAAAGAATTTAATGTAGCAATTATTTTTTTGTGCTTTGAGTTGGTATTCTTCCTATCACACGAGGTTTCACAGCAGGATATGGAAAGTAATTCTTAGTATAAATGAATTTTGCTGCTTTCATAATTGTACGTATACTCAAAAAGCACTTCAGATCAAATCAGAACGAATAATTTTTTAAGTAATTCTGAAAACAAGATTTATGATAAACAGTTTTCATCCCTAGATGCAACATGTATGCAATTTTGGTCTGATAGAGCTTGCAGTTACTTGGGAATGGACTTATCTAAAAATTTTAAACTAGTAGCTTATTCAGAGAAGAACGAGGGCGCTTTTGATTGGCATACGGCAGGAATATGGGCTCACTTGAAAAGTGAAAATTTCATTATCTGTCACATGAAATTTTAGCATTCTTTTGATATATCGGGTTCCTGTAAAATAGGAAAGGGAAATATTTTCCCGATATTGTATTTTGATTTCCTAAAAAAGAACTTGAAAATTAGCTAGATGGATCATTTGGTAGAAAATGTTACATTTTGAACATTTTTCTAAAAAATTGCTATCTCTCCATGATTTTGAAACGTTATTTGTTTGCATTTTAATTCAAAGAACATTTGTAAAAAAATGGAGAGAAGACCCAGAGACAATAAAAAATGTACTTTTTCCAAAACAAAATCCAATGTGTAAATGCGGTGCTTCATTGTCGCTTTAAAAACCACAAAGTGTGTGGAGCGGTGATAGCTCAGTAGTATGCGTTACCCGTCCAGTGCACTATTAATATCAAAGAACTATTTTTGCTTTGATCCTCGCATGGAGCGTTAATATGTTTTTAGTACAAACAATCAATTCTTTTGTCAGTTTAATTTTATGCACTGATTTATTTTCAAATAGATAAATTCTGGTTCTGTTGCACCAAAAGCTAAAGTAATTCTTCCAATCTACTTATACTTTAATATATACATGTAATTGCATTTAACTATACCCTATAGGTGTTTATTGTTTATGTGAAGCGTTATTAAATTTTACATATAGTATTTATTAAGATAAGCGGACTGATATATTAAATTCGACAAAGTATTTCAAACTAAGTCTAACATTTTTCCCATGTGCGTAACTTTGTAAAGAGTGCTCAGCTGTGGTCAGTCGACCAAATCGTAGACATTTAAACTATAAATGTTTCGTACGCCTTATTCCTGCAGATCACATGCCAAACACGCCCATCTTCTTTTAGTCAAATCTAGCTGATTGAGGAGAGTTATTTTATATCTCATATTTAGCTAAGTTTTAAAACAAAAACATTTTTGTACACATGGAAATAAATCTTTATCGTTTATCAGACAGATTTACAACCTCTGACAATATGAAAATAATAGCAATGGAATTGATAAATCTTGTACCTGAATATTTTGCCAATTTTCATAAACTTGTTAAATATTTGACTATGTTTTGTTATAAAATACACGTTCACCTTATCTTGTTGTTAAAAATATACTATAGAATCGTCATAATTATACAAAAATACTACGCGTATTAACAATTAAACCTTGCACCAGATAAAAAGCATTCTGATTTTTTTTTTTTTTCAGAATAATTTATAATATTGTTTTTGAATCAAATTCTTTTAAAACATGAACAACAATGTTAAAATATTTTTAAATTCAAAACATTTAAAGACAATTGTGTTACATATTCAAGATGGGCCTCGGAATAGGCCTCGGATAATTTTTAAAAGTCATTCTTGAAAAAAGATATATGATAAACAGTTGATTCTGGAGGGTTATTTTGGCATTTGCAATTAAATAAATAATCGTAATTTAGAATTCGATAAGATTAATATTCTATTTAAATTTACAATCAAAGTATTTTTTATGGAAGGGATACACGTCCTTTTCCACTCCTTGTATCTTCCATCCTCTCATTTTCTTTCTTCCTCTCCCTTCTTCCCTCCCCTTCCTACATATACAAAACCCTTTTCCTCCCCAGTTCAATTATCCCCCTCTACCTCCTTAACCCTTTTCCCTTTATTTCTATACAACAACTTTGTTTGATCAGTAATATATCAATCAGTAATATATCAATCAGTAATATATCAATCAGTAATATATTTAAGATAATCATTCAACAATATGAGAAACCAAACAAACTGTTATCGGTAAACATGAACTATCAAACAAATGTGTCACTGTCAAAATATTTCTAATCAAAAGAAAACGATGCATATTTAGCAGCTATTATTACATATTACCATTAATATAGAGGCTAAACATCAAATATAAATGACATGCTCCATACAAAGATAATTTTCTTCATTTTCTACACCTTTTTTAAAATTACAAAAAGAAACTTACCAAGCCTTCTTGTGTGAATTTGCTGATTTTTACATGACTCACTCCTGGGAGAAGATGGCGTCGGCTGCAAACAAATTCCAGGGTAATTTGTTACTAAAATTAGGATTGGAAAATTCCCAATTTATTTTTCTTACATGGCTTAGATTCTCATTTATAAACACGTGAGAGGCGCATTCTTGTATGCTTATCTTTCTAAAAAATCTTTTCAACACTCGAAAAACAAAATATACTCGTGTCTGCAGTCCTATTAATCTGAAAAATACATGTTCGTAAAAATTCATTTTTTCATATATTGTTTTTGAAATAGCACCAATACTTCATGTTTCCATTTCAAACTAGTGGATGTTTCTTCCATCCCAAATCACACACTTGATTACAATTACAATTGATTACAATTACATTTTATTACATATATTGAAAACAACAGATACAATGTCATTATCCTTGAAATCATTTGTAACTTTTAAAAGGGCCTGGGGAAAAAAATGAAGTTAATAATTTCTAAAATTTTCAGTATAATAAAATGACTTATATGTTGCTAGAGGATTTCACGCTGAAATATAATAAAAGCGTGTTTAGAAACTTTCTTTATTTGGAGATTATTACGAATTTCGGGAAGCGTTTGATTAACACATATTCCAGCACTTTCACGAAGTACATGTAAACTTTATCCTTAATGCTTAAGAAAAACAATTTGTCTGAAGTCCAATGAGTACCAATTGCGCCCCGGTATAAGCAGACCTATTTTTGTATTCATTTTAACAATTTAAACTCCCCTTAACCCAAGGATGCTTTGTACCGATTTTGGTTAAAATTAGTCCAGTGGTTCTTGAGAAGAAGTTGAAAATGTGAAAAGTTTACAGACGGACGGACGAACGACGGACAACGGGTGATCAGAAAAGCTCACTTGAGCTTTCAATTCAGGTGAGCTAAAAAACGTCAGTCGGCATTTGACTCAAGAAATAAGATAATTCAGCAGATTTTTTTTAAAACTGCAGTACAAAATTGACATCTGGTAAACCTTAGCTTTCACGAAGCTATTGTTTATACGAAGTTTGGAGAGAACAAGAATCATAAAAAGAATGGACGTTTGTTATATAAAGAGAATTATGTTTGATGTTTTGGAGATGCAAAATTAAGACTGGTTGTGTATACAATAATATGTTGATTTTGAATTACGTACTATGTCATTTGTCTGTCCATTTTAAGAGCAAACCATCCTTGATTCACTAAGCAGGTTGGGGGGAAAATTCCGCTATAATAGTGGTATATCACTATTATAGTGAAATTCCGCTATATTTTCAGCCGTATTTACCCTCGATTTCATCAAATAACACGCTTGCTGTTTAAAGCGCAAGTCATGGTGGGTATAAAAATGGACACTAATTGGCACCCTTACATGTTATGAATTTTATTAAATTTTCTGCGATGCGTTTAATAATGCGAACGCACTTTTTAAAACGGAAGTTACATTTTTTAACATAGCAACCAGTGATTTCGGTAGTATTCAAGAAAGACTGAATCTCAATTTCTCTCATACGTGTGCACAAATTAATGCTTGTAATAACTTTCAACCAGAATTGAAAGAGGTTTGTCGAATTTACAGAAGAAAGGATGATTTGTGTCTGCATGGTAACGGGTATGGAGGCCCGTTGTGTGGGGGAACTGAAATATATTTCAAAAATATCAAATTGATTTTAAAAAAAACTGAAATATGCTCTCATAAATTTTAATAATATGTATTCGTTGAACGCTACGGTTTAATTTTGTAAAATAGAAAAATTCTTTAATTTTAATGCTGATATATATATATATATATATATATATATATATATATATATATATATATATATATATATATATATATATATATATATATATATATATATATATATATATACTGAAAATGATATCATGCATGCATTTATAAAATTTAAAATACTAGCATACTTACTGATTCTGGACACAACAATTTTCCTTCTTTCGATCATGAATATATCTTTTATTCTATTTTCATTTTTCATTGTCCCATTCCCGTTGGTTTCCTCTACTCTATCGTTTTCATTGCTTTGAGTCTGTTCAGGGGAAGGTGACTGATATCCGATATTCAATACATCTGTTGCGGTCATTCTAGAATTCAATTTTAAGACAATATTTTCCTATTTAATTTTTTTCAATAACCTTTCAATTTCTCCTTTGAAATTGGAGTTTTCATTCTTTAGTTCCTTGTTGGCTTCTTCTAAAACGTGCAAGCGGTTTTCAATTCCTTCCATCCAGTTTTGGTCAACGTTACCTTGGATATGGTTAAATGGTAAAAGAACACACAGAATTAAGAGGAGTCCCTTTGCTGTCATTTTCATTAGCTTTAATCTTCGTGTCAAGTTCGGAACTGTATAGATAGGCAGTCCCTAACTGTTACATATAATGTTTACAGAGAAATGTAGATTTCAAAGATAAGGACAAATTGTGCCGTATTTGTGCAGTATAATTGATTACCTCAAGACCTTATCTTTTTGATATTTATTTGAGGCGAGTGCACTTTGTCAAACCCTGAATACTTTTTCGGCATAGTATTTCCAATAATAACACTATATTATACCGTATAAGCAGAATTTTTAGCGAGGATTCAATTTTTGGCATTATTAGCGAGGGTGTTTAGATCGCTAAAATTGAATATCGCTAAGAATTCATTCCGAATCAATAAGAGTTATCTTTCTTTGCATATTGACTAAGAAAGCTCGTAAAGAAGGATAACTCCGTAACACTTTACATCATTAAAGAGAGTTATCTTCCTTAGCTATTTCTTGACAATACCTGAGTGGTACGTGAGCTTTGTTCACAAGATAATTAAAGTATTGAAATCTTTGTTCCTCTCTTGTTATTTAATTCTGAACTCTCCTTGGAAGTGGTTAACTGTCGTTCCTATCTGATTGTGGTTAAGTGTTTCTGAAATGTCGATTTTGAGATTTTTGAAAAAAAAGACGATTTGCCATTGAGTGGCGAATTTGATCAAGCATAGGAACTTGTCAATGAAATTCTTGAGGATGCTGTACAAACGCCGAAAAAAAAAACGAGCGAAACGTGGGACTTACTCTACCTATTCTCCTTCAAAAGGATATGAAATCGGAAAATATGCTGCAGAATTCGGAAATTTGAAAGCTGTCGCCGAATTTTCGGTCGAGTAATTATAAGAGAATAAATTCAATGAAAGTTCAGTGAGAAATTTTAAAAAGCGTTACTTAGAAAACTTAGAAGCCAGGAAACGAAAGCGCTTTGAGAGTGGAGATATGGAATCTTGTCGTAATGAGGAAGCTGAAGGTTTAGAACTTACACCGAAAAAAGAGACAGAAAATTATTTTTAGGCGATGAACTGGACGCCAAAGTTCAAAAAATAGTTACTAAATTAAGAAATTCAGGTGCAGTTGTAAACACGTCTATTGCAAGGGCTTCCGCCAAGGGTATCGTCTTGTCAAAGGACAGGAGTTTGTTGTACGAGAATGGGGGTCATATAGATTTATCTAAAGTTGGACAAAATTGCTGCTATTGAGAATGGGCTTGGTCAAAAGAAAAGGGACAACGTCGAAGAAAATTCTTGACGTTGCTTATGAAGAAAAAAAAATAAATTTCTTAAACGAATACAGGCAATAGTGGAGACCTATAAAATCCCAGCGGAACTTATCCTGAACTGGGACCAGACAGGTGTCAATATCGTCCCTGTAGCAGGTTGGACAATGGCAACCGAGGGATCGAAGCGTGTGGAGATTAAAGGGATCGATGACAAGCGGCAAATTACAGGTATGTTTATTTACATAATTGTTCGCTTGGGTGTTGATAGGACATTTTGCTTTAAAATGAATTAAATAATTAGTTTGTGTGTCTTTTAACAGCTGTTTAATGCATATTGAACTTGTCAGCTGATTGGCATGATATAAATCGTTGAAATTTACATGTAAAAGATTCAACAAAAATCAAAGAAAAACAATCATTTATTTACAAATATATATTTTTATCAAATATTGTTGCTAATTTGATTTTTAAAAAAATAATTGATTTTTAAAGCTACATATGCTGGGACCTTGTCGGGATATTTTTTACCCATGCAACTCATCTACGGGGGAAAACCTATCAATGCCACCCAAAATTCACTTTTCCGAAAACTTTCAATATCACTCATTCAGAAAACCACTGGGCGAATGAAGAAACCATGAAAGACTACATCACAGAGATCGTTGTTCCATATATCAATAATATAAGAGACGAAGGCGATTTTTCCGTTACACAGCAAGCACTCGTTATTTTCGACTACTTCCGTGGGCAAATTACAGAACCCTTTCTCGAATTTTTGAAGAAACACCGCATTCAGTACGTAACTGTCCCCCCAAACTGCACAGACAAGCTCCAACCTTGAGCTGGACTAAAGCGTAAACAAATACGCTAAAGATTTTTTTAAAGAAGGAATTTCACGAGTGGTATGCGGGGGAGGTAGCTGCCTGTATTTCCGATGGGAACGACTGTGTAAACGTGGATTTAAGCCTTAGCAGAATGAAGCCATTAGGTGCGAAATGGCTTGTAAAACTCTACGATTATTTATGCAGCAAACCAGACATCATTAAAAAAAAGGATTTAAGGAGAGTGGAATTGATGATGTAAATAAATCAGTGCTAACGTGACTCGGACACCTGCCGATACAATATGATTTTCTGTTCTATCTATATTGCAGTGATTCGCTATAGATAAATAGTGATGTATAACCCTGTATAAATAAAATTATATCATTTATATCTTTCTGTTCAGAATGTTATTAATTTATATTTTGTAAATAAATAAAAATCGTAATTAACGGTGTATGTCTGTACTAATGGTAAGAAGAAATTTCAGGAACAGTTATATTTTCCTGTTTGGAATCAATAAATCGATCTCTAAAATTACTTCTAGCTAAAACATGTAAAATTATATACCGAATTTTAAGGAGAAATCGCTAAATTTGCGTCTCGCTTAAAATTCCACTTATACGGTAATTATTATATGCTGCATAGGGGTCTGTATAGCCCCAGCTGC